GACCAATTTTCATTAATCTTGACAGGAATATCACATCAGAGGCTGATATACCTTAGCAGTGTTTAATTCCCTCAGATAAAAGTGTGCCACTACCACCATGCAATTAAATATAATAAGATCTAGTATGGTAAGTCCCAGGTAACAGAACCTACAGGTTCAACACCGCTATTACCACAGAATACAATCAGTGCCAGTTCCATTAACCACCCTTCTCACACTATATTTCCCCCAAATCTACCTCAGTACCATCCTTTCCATTTTCTTGTCTACTTACAAAATGTGAAATAACTTAGGGGTCACGTAAAATCTATATTTATACATCAATTTTATAAAAAGGTAAAGCTATCCCTGTAACAGGCTGCGAAGACCCATTGGGTTGAGATGTTGAGGCTCCCACATTTTCTCTAGACAATCAGCTCGCAGAAGGTGGTATGGTTATCAACCTTATGCACTGGCCACCCTTTAACCACGGAAGATTCTTGGTACTCATTTCTGTTAGAGGCTGAGTCAACCCCAGGGACATAGTGCGGCTGGAAGGATTAGGTAAACTGGGGGGGGGGAATCCACCTCATCGGGACTTGGAACACATGGCCTTCTGGCTTGTAGCATAGTGCCTCAACCAACTATGTTACCGCGTGCCTCTCATCAATTTTATAAAAAAAACTTAAGTGACTACTTTTCTTTTAAAGTCCTACAGCCTGTAATGGTAACCACAATTTGTAACACTGTTGTGGAGATACGATACAAAATTCAGCACCCTGTTACTTACCGAGCCATTCTACCATGTCCTTGATGCCCAAGAAGAACTTCTCCTCCTCTTTCTCTGGATTAGTATCATCGTATCTCAGGAAACAGATGCCATCATGTGCTGCAGCATATCCAAAGTTAATATTTATAGCTTTAGCATGTCCAATGTGTAAAATTCCATTTGGTTCTGGTGGAAATCTTGTTCTTACCTATGTCAAGAACGACAATCATGTAGATCTCATCTCATCCTACTGCAGAGTGGTAACAATGCATCAGAATTTCTGTGATATTCCTTAGTACAGAAACAATGTGCTGATATGCAGCCAATGGCTTCTATGACATCTACCTGTGCTGCTGTAAGATTTTTCTGACTTTTAAAATTTATACAGGGTGTTTCACGACTTTAGGGCATAATTGCAGGAGGTGATTTCCTAGGTCTTTGTGATCAAAAAAGTTCATATAAACATGTGTCCGATTTTGGATGGTTACGGAGTTATGACCGGTTTAAATTCAGATTAGAAGGTAACGATTACTGACAATAAATGGAACAAAACAATAAACCAGCATAATACATGATACATTTAAAGTATGAATGTAAAGTTAACTTCGTGAAATNGTTAAAAATAGCGACCCGCCAGCTGACAGACACGGTTCACATGAGGGCGTGTACGGGAATGAAAAAACGGTCATAACTCCGTAACTGTCCAAAATCGGACAAATGTTTATATGAACTTTTTTGATCAGAAAGACCTAGGAAATCACCTCCTGCAGTTATGCCCTAAAGTCGTGAAACACCCTCTAGTCCCGGAAATTTTCACCTACATAGGTTATTTGTAACCACGAGAAACTGCATACAGTTTCTACAACTTGAGCTTGACATTGGATCTAGGTTCAAAAGAAGTGTGTTATGACAGCCATGTAGGGAGTGATAACACTCCTTTACGTTGTCGTGTGTTGCCTATGTAACGTGACAAGTAAATTCATGTGGGTCTCGGATTTGGCTAAGACATTTATTGGACAATCTCTTTTACACTCGCAAGTACAATTACTCCCAACTTCACTATCACAATTACTTGTACTGCTGATCTCTGTGAAGTGTCTTCTGTCCTTTGTAGGATGCAAGCTTGCTTCTGCTCTAGTCAGAGCTACACTAAAAACTGACTGGTCTCGTCGAAGCTGGACTTTTATAACGTGCACTTGGACTGACTAGTGAACATTTTGTTCAAGGGTTCCGTTTTATCCACTGGCAATATTCGTTTCCATGGATATCCTTTCATTTCTGGGGAAACACATTTGTTGCTTAAGCTATTCCTATGCAACGGTCTACTGGTATTGCGTTTCCATTGAAGTACATATTCTTATCGCAGTCATTGCTTATCAATGGATGTGTCTTCTGTCCTTTTTCGTGGCATGCCACAATATGAATGCTTCTATTGTACACTCACCTTTGCTCTACAAATGTGCATCACAAAACTCAACGTAGCAGCCAAGGCAAGTGCTAGCAAGAAGCAATCAGCTGCATTGCATGAAGAAGTAGAAGTGGGAGAATATTTACTTCTAAGTAAATCGAAAGGAAATTTATTAGATTTGGAATTTGACACTGACAATGAATTGGATGACTGTGCTCTTCTTGATGATGTGGTAACTTATGGCAGTGATGAAGATGACATTATTATTCATGACTTTGCTTGGGAAACCATGGAAAATTCTAAGGGACAAAGGGAAAATTACACAGGCAGTGTTGAACCTCAAGGGGCTGCAAAACATTTGACATTTTTTAATTCTTCCTCAGCAGATAACTACATGGACATGACTGTCAAAGAAACAACTAGCAACACAGAGCAGTTTCTATGTCAGCGTGAATTATCAATCAGGTGCCTGATATGGCATGGAAAACTATAAGAAGCACAATTAGCAGAGGAAATCAGGTGACGTGCCAATTCTTTCTAGCATGTCACAGCAAAGTTTGTGGAAGCTACTTGGTCACTCAGTTTTAGTGCATGAATTATCTGAAACTTGTACTCTCTTAGGCGGAGCCTTTTGTGTACCACATTGTGTACTGTTGAACATATAATTTGTATGTAACTGGAAGCTAGCAGCATGAACTGATTTGTGCAGACTTCACTGGAATGCCTCTCTAATGCAATGGACATTTTCTTCAGAGATCCAAGTCCTTCCAGGAGATTTTACACACTTTCTTCAGAGATCCAAGTCCTTCCAGGAGATTTTACACACAACAGACTACCTGTAGTCCTGAGTTTAAAGCCCCAGAACCAAATGCTTTTCTGTGTAGGAGGTTGATGTCCACACTGCGTTCTAAAACAATGCTGAGCAGCTGTAAGAGACTGCAACTCTGCTAGCCACAAAAGGCATCGAACCGTTCCTGTGGTGTGGACATCATTACTGAGCTTGCCAACGGTCACAAGCTGGCACACGTGCATAAGCCAGGCATGAAAAAAAAATACTTTCACTCTTCCTTTCCGATGATATAAAATGGATACGTGTTTGACAGTTTTCAAGATACAATTCGTTTTATTTTGGATACCTTTCATCCAGACATCCTGTACCTATCATAGGAATGGAACTCCACTTAGGCTAACAAAGGTGAAGTGTACTAGATCCTACTATGTCAAGCGTGGCAAAAAGCTAACGAGAAGTCTACCACCTCCTTTATATAATCCGTTCGTATGTCACGTCTCACATCAGAATCCAATACCTCCTACATGTGAGAATTTTCTCATTTGATGTTAACTGGCATGTTTATAGCCTATTCTTTTAAATATAAAACAGTCTGCTTGTGTGTCATTTTTTGCATAAATGAGTGTGTTTGTAATGTTACCTGTCCTCTGGTGAGCTTCAAGTGTTCCTGCAAGAGCTTCATGGTGTTCGGAGTTACTACATAACCATCTGTTTTATAATTCTCACCTGGTTTATGAAAATGTATTTTGGTTTTCATAATTTCACTTATAGACATGTGAGCAGGGGCAATTTTACCTGAAAACAAGAAATTAAATGCACTGATTTTATACCTGACTCTCATTTGCTTCTCTAGTTACCTAACAAAACCTGGGAACATTAGAGATTCACATGTAAAATTTTCCAGTGCTTCATTTCCTAAATGGCATGACAAATATAAAAGAGCACCCTTCAACAGTATATTACAAAAAATAAAGCAAGGTTTTAAAACTTAACACAGTAAGTTGCAAAAAATGTGTAACTTTAATGTCATAGGCATACAAGAGGTCAGATGGGACAAGGATGGCTCTGAATTAGGAAATGATTAAACATCCTCCTACTGAACTGGGAATACTAATCACCCTTTTTGGACAAGCTGTTCTGTACATATGAGAATCATATCAGCAGTTGAGAAGATGGTAGAGGTTCTTAGTTATGGGATGCTGTATATGACACTAAGAAACCTTTGGTATGATGACACTCTTCTGAATGTGAATGCCCTAACTGAAGATCAAAGTGATGGCATAGCAAGTGTCACGTAACTTTGAACAAGGCCAAGAGTAATCTTGAATGCGCAGAAGAAAAATTTCAGACAAGGGGAGTGGAGGGTGTGAGAAGTGATAGGCGGCCAGTGGAAGAACGGGTGTTAAGAAACTCCTCTCACAACAAGCTATGGGCGGGATTTGACTAGGAATGAGGGGCCTTGTTCGAAGTTACATGACACTGTCTATATAAAGGGCAACTCTTATGAGGAACTACACCATATATTCAATCAGTTCCATAAGTACTATTCCGTATTGAGGGGGTGGGTTTCCCCATGCACTTAGACCAATTACTGGTCCATTGTGCGTCCCCCTTTAATTTCTACTGTCTCCATACCCTACCAGTACTGGTGCTTACTATCAGCCCCTTTCTGCCAGCGAGGTTCCAACCTCTTACTGGCAGTGGTATCTAATAGTTAGTCCCTTTCTGTCAGCGAGGTCGTCCCTCCTCTGGCAGGGGTTCCTAGTCCTTTTCTGCCAGCAAGGTTTCTACCCTCTACTTGGCAGTGGTATCTAATACTTTAGTCCCTTTCTGTCAGAGAGGTCCCCCCTCCTCTGGCAGTGGTACCTGATACTTCCCCCATCTACCAGAGGAATTGGAAACTAGTTGGGCGGGAAACTTGNGGGAACGTTACCTCTAGACTACGGAGGCCACTTCCATAAGTACTAAACAAAGGTATGGAATCTGATGTAAGAGATCAACCACTGTTCAGGTAATTAGAAAGAGTCACATACTGGATAAAAAAAATGGGAATACAATGACACAGTACATCAACTATTTATAGACTTCATTAAAGCCCATGATTCAGTTAGGAAGGAAGTACATCTCACTGCATTTGGAATACCCATGAAAACTAGTTGGGCTATTAAAATGGGTTGCCATACCATCATGGCTTTAATATATTAGACGCCTGTAAGCACGCCGGTCTAGAAGCAAACACAGCAGGCACCGGATCTGAAGGCAACTTCATAACATGAAGACAGCTGATAAACCTTTGGGTTCTAGAAAGGATACAGAATTCTTTTGACTGATTGCCTATTATGCTTCTCAAGAACTTTCATCTATGAAGTAAGCTTTGTTCTCTTTCAATAACTGGATAAAAAAAAAGACATTTATTTTCACCAAAATATATGAGAAAAATGTTTGCACATGCTGTCCAAATAGAGCATTCACTAATGTTGCACATCACTTATCACTCCTTATTCACTGCCTCACATGCAAACTTGTGTTAAAATCTTAAAATTCATCCTTTTGAATTACACATTATTTTTCACATCACTAGTGCAATATTTTTTTTTTGGCTAATGGGGTGGGACTAAGTCCCTTGTACTGCGGCCACTTCTGGCCTATTGTACCAGCCCCAAATGATAGGTGAGGGTGATTGTGGAGCAATTGGTGGAATGAAGATTGGCAGGGGAAACCGAAGTACTTGGAGAAAACCTGCCCCAGAGCCACTTTCTCCATCACAAATCCCACTTAACCAGACCCAGGATTGAACCTGGGCCACCACAGTGGGAAGCCAGCGACTAACCGCTTGAGCTTTGGTGCGGCCTTAGTGCAATATATGTTTTGACTGACATGGGCATCATCAAGCGATTAAAAAATTGCTGTTGAAATTGCTGCACTTTCGTCAATGAATACAATTCCAAAGTATGTCCTTGAAACAAAACATACCAACCAACATGAGCAAAATACAACAAATACTAGCTAATCTGGATTAACTGGGGAGAGAGAGGCCATCTGGATTAATGAAGCACAAGGGCCCTAAAAGACCCCCCCCCCAAAAAAGAACAGAAAACGAATAAATCTAAATTTTAATATAAGTAGTCCTGATAAAAATAAATAAAAAATATCTCTGCAGCCATTTCTTCCTCTGTCTGAAGTTTAAATCCAGAGTTTCCTTCATCCAGCCAAAGCCAGTCTTTGATATTTTCTTGTGTGATTTCAGGCTCCCCAACTGCCCTCAACATAGTATGGAAGTCCTTTTGCTCTAATCCCTCTTGTTCCTAAATTCCACGTGTCTTTTAAAGTATGTACTCAACTATGATCAGAATTTTTCATATTATGATCCGGATTATCAGGATTACTTGTAACCAGATTTGCAATGCTGATCCACAATACCAGAAAATTAAATAGGCCACTTTCACATACAGTGTAAAAGAAACTAGGAAAATCACAGAGCTTTTTAAAGAAGTACAAAAAATGCTTTCTCAACACAAAACACAACATAATAAAACCTCATTTACAGGTGGATAAGTATGAAAAAGCGGCATTTACCTAATGAAATACATGGAATGCCCACTAAAATATGTGGAACAAACAGAACGAAATTTTCACATGAGATACAAAGAGCATATAGAGGCAATTTGGAAATATAACAGAAGTTTGGGATATTCGGACCAAGAACTCAACATGAGACATGCATACAGGAGTATAATGCTATGGGCATTATAAAATCAGAGAAAAAAGGAAGAAACCTAAACACATTGAAAATATACTACATATATAAAATCAGCAAAACGGATTACCTATGAATGACACATAATCTGGTATTTTAAACTTCAGGCACTAAAGAACAGATAGAAGCTCACATACTCCATCTACCCTATATAAGAAAGAAGCAACTCCCCACTCACAACAACTGCACATGACATGCAAGATGAATCACCCAGTGCTACAGTAAGTACACATCCAACTACATTATAGGAAACACCAATGTACTCCATACATGAAATGGTAACATAATTACCATTACATATTACAGATTTACAAGAATACATATATATATAAGTACATAAAAAGGGCACTCTTTTGAACTGTATTTCTGACAGAAGTGAAGCAGTTTTTAACAGCAATCTTCGAAGCACCATAATATGACCATATGAGTTGAAACACAGTGCACGAGAGACGTGAAAACATAATTTAAAATTCAGAAACGTGAATTTTAAGATTTTGACACAAGTTTGCATGTGAGATGGTGAATAAGCAGTGATAAAATCATTCAATACTGAATCAAATTCTACTGTAGCATATGAGTATTTCATAGCTTTGCAACGAATGCATATCCTTCCTTTCACATAAAACTTTCCATCTGAACAGATCATGCAGGTTAATCTATAACACACATAAACATATTTATTTAATGAAGATGTTAATACCTCAGAATACAAAGTTGAAAGCAATAATTATTGGATAATGAATTGGAAATGATGTGGAAGAATGCTGTGGTGGTCAGTTTATGATACTATCCTGGCAAGATAGACTGAGAAAAGCCATGAAAACCTATATGCATAGCTGGTCTCTGGGCTAAGGTCTGAACCTGAGATGTCATGAATATAAAGCAGAAATATATTACATTTTAGCATCCTGTTGCACTATACACTTCTATATGTAATAATACAAATGCCATCGTGAATGCAACAATATATTTGGTTGTAGTTCATTGTCTTTTCTTCCTCTACACTACATGTTTCGGCTGCAACCGGCCATCATCAGGTGATACAGAGTGGGTATCCCTGTGATTTAAAACTTTAAATTTTGAATTTTAAAAGTTATAAAATTTTAAATTTGAATTCTAAAATCAAATTGACGAGCATATGTTGGCGAGATTTTAAACAAAACTGAGAGGCTGGTGTTTTAGATTTTAGATTGTGTGCAGTGTGACAGCTATGTAGTGAAAAATACACCTGATGATGGTTGGTTGCAGCCGAAACATGTAGTGTAGAGAAAGAAAAGACAAAGAACTACAACCGAATAAATTGTTGCATTCACGACAGCATTTGTATTATTACATATAAAGCAGAAGTACCCATTCATCCATTATGTTTGATTTTTCAACTTATCAATGAATAACATTCATCTCCTGTTTGAGAAATGTCTGTACTGATGATACCATCGGCTCTTATTTTTGTTCTGCTGTACGTAACAATACTCTCAAAATGGATTTTCTTCCTTGCCCCCATAATATAATTTACCATCCCACCACATATTTTCCCAAAATATCAAACATCACTCACTATACCTTTTCTACTTATCTGAAATAAGTACCCAATTGCAACAAGGAAGCAATGGCCTATACTTCATTTCACTTACCATCAATGACCGCAATGGGTTCAACATCCTTTGTCAACTCTGTTGAGTCCCCATCAGGCTTGCTAGCTTTAACCTTCTTAGTTTGTTTTATCTGAGATGAGAAGTCAGACTCAGTTTTGGGGCCTAGTAAATCTAACACCTGCAAATCCACTTCATTTTTAATTGCTTTCCCATCAGCCCATTTCAGCTCCTGTCGAACTTCCCGCATGATAACTCCCACATTAAACTGGTACCTGAGAAATAAAAAAATCATAATAAAGTAAAAAAAATCTATTAGAAAATCAAATAAACTTATTACTGTCACAAGAAACTGTTCAGTACAGCATAGCGATGTATTCTTTGCACAAAATCAATGCATATAAAAACAAGGTAAAGCTATCCTTGTAACAGGCCATGAGGGGCCATAGGGTTGTGAGAGGTCGAAGCTCCCACATTTTCTAGACAATTAGCCCACACACGGCAGTGAGGCTGTCAACCTTACGTGCCAGCCGCCCTTTAACCCCAGGAAGATTCCTGGTACTCATTTCTGTTAGACGCTGAGTCGACCCCAAACCTACAGAGCAGCTAGAAGGATTATGTCAACTGAAAAATCCAATGACCTCATTGGGAATCAAACTACTGGCCTTTCAGCTTCTAGCACAGTGCTCCAACCAACTATGCTACTGCCTGCCAGCAATGAAGGCATATGGGGAGGACTGTGTCCATCTACCTGTCTGTATATCTCATCTATAAAACTACTTTGAAAAGATTGCAACTAAATTCAATATTGGAATTCTACAATAAACTTTGAAGGGTAAGTTATCTTTGGTCTGTGTGACTATTGTAACCCTTACTTTACATAAAATCTAATCAAACTATGTAGGTCTACATCAATTTTCATTCAAAAAATATTTATATGTAACATAAAACAGACGTATAAATTTTACCAGATTTTTTTTCAGTAAAGAGTATATTTATGAAAGTACATGGTGAAATAATTTGTTACTCTGTACACTGTAATACCTATAGTGCAATAAATTTGCAGCAACAGGTATGTATCTGTATTAAATTAATGCTGACACCAATTACGTAGGAAAAACAGAAGACATGTGTTTAGAAAATATGTGCACTCCATTCATGTTCTGTACTAAACACAAATTTTTAAACTACTACATGTGGGCCGGGACTGGCCACAGAATGCAAAGGAAGCGGGCACCTTACACCAAGGAACTCTGGATGGAGATTTCAGTGTACAGTGTACATTTGTGAAGACAATAAAAATTTACCATAATCAATGCAAATACGTTACATTATTTGTAGTTACTGTCATTTCCCCATTTAATGTTTTTCTGAAGACAATGAATTTGAACACTAAATTGAGAAAACCTTAAATGCAGGAAATGTAATGCTGAAATAATGGAGCTAGGACCAGAACAAATTTGTCAGTTCATTTAAAGGTTATCAGTTCACAAACACACACATTTCCCATATAACAAATCTGGTTGCTGCTGGACGTTCTTAGACAGTTGCATCCATGCATTAAGTATACACAACATTATGTAAGATCATGAAGGATGCATCATGTGGTACTAAAGGTGATAAAGAAAAAAAGTTTTATCATGACAAGATGTGACTAGGCATCCTGCCAGGATGATCTCTCTCACTGAAGATGCCAACTGCATAAGTATGATTTAGGTAGGAAATATATTTTCTGTTTCTGATACTGCTACAACCCAGGCACAGCCTATTAATTATAAAACTAAATATTATATCACTTTCTGAAATCCTTTGTTACCTCATCTCTGTTAGGTCCAAAAACGGTCCTCAGCACATTGTTCTTGAACACCCAAAATCTATGCTCTCCCACCAGTAAGCATAAGCCCACAACTCTCATTATTAACATGGTAATTACTTATTGTATATGGTGTTATTTTCTGAAACCTGAACAATTAATCATAAGCATCACTAGTTCATAATTAAGACATAATTTCATCCATTTGTCAACTGTTAATGTATCAGTAGGCCTATGTAAAACGGCCTTCTACTGTACACTGCGTAGACTGGTGGTCTGAGTATACCTTTTATCCAGTAATTCATCTTTGTGTTTCTTTATTAATTTTTCCACAACATGTTCAATTTCCTCGGGACTGACAGTAATACCAACTCCACATGCAGTTTCAAACTCTTTTATATTAAGATCCCCCTTCAAATGCGATAACAAGTAATCCAAGGCAGCTGTAAATCAGATAGAACATGCAACATAAATTAATATTTTTAATCTTTCCACCAAGCAGGAGATACTTTTCAAGCATGGATACTTTTGTTTCTGATTGTGCATATCTTCCCTGATAATTTGTGACTGAAAAGAAAATGGCTGATTTTACAAAGGGGCAAATCTGGGTGCCACAAAAACTGGTGATTAATATGACCTATGATATGCGTATGATCCAGCAGTATTTGAAGGAAAATAATGCATTCAAAAGGCACAAGAAATTCCATGCAATAAAGTCAAATATAACTCAACTCTCCTTGTCAAACGAAGAGCCTGCAGCTTCACTAACCTCATAAATTTTGATACTGAGATGTTTATGCTTTTTAAGGTTCTGCTGCAACTTGCTGATTCCTTGTATCAACACCCAATATTGTATGCTTCTAAATGGCACTGGCTGACAGTTATGTTTGTCACATGCAGTGCCAGCTGTCTGCTTTGTGGATGAATAACCACATGATTCTGCCTGCAACTAAGCATTCTTGTATACACTCTAAAGGCTGCAAGCTTGCAACTGCATGCTTCAACACTTAAGAGTTGATATCAAAAGAGCAAGTGTTACAGTTTTTTCTGCTTGAGCTGTGGCTTGCTGTCACAAACAGGCAGGCCCCGGGAACTTTAAATAATGGTGGAACCATACACTCTTTGAAATTCAGTTACTTTATCCACTGCCAAATATTGAGCGGTCCTGTAAAATTTACCAAAAGAATCATTTAACCTTTCAAAATGTATTCTTAATTTCCATAGTCTGAGGTACATTTCATCAGAAATATAAAGTTCTTTGCTCTGATCTGACAAGAAGCATAATACATGAAGGTATCTGTCATACTTTATGGTGTTACTACGAGTAAAAATGTTCAGGTGTATACAAAGTCCTTCATATTGTCCCTTATGTCACATTAAATTTGGAGTACCCAAAAACAGGCAGACCCTATCTTGATGGCAAGGGGTAAAATGAGGATTTCCCTTCATTCCTCAAGCCCAAAGGCTGTCATAACACAGGTCTATCTGTTCCAGCAACACACAGATACCTCTATGAAAAGAGATATGGTCCACAGGGACAAGCTACTAACAAGTGCTGTCAGGCTACTAAAGGCCCTGACCCCCCTCCCCCAACTTAACTGAAACAAAAATATAATGAGGTAAGACAAAACAGACTCCATTAAGGAATGCCCAAATGCACTTCAGGGAACTGACAAAGGATTAAAAATTACATACTGTGACATGACAGCTCCAAGCAAGAACTGTGGAACCAAAAGAGACAGCTGCTGCTAGACAATGGCACAGTAAACATGCCATGACATACTGCTGCTATTGCTATGCACAACAAACACGCAACAACAGAAGAACTGTTGGAGGTGGTGTACTCTGTTGGGTACATGCAGAGACTATATAATGAGATCTAATTTGGGAGGAAATAATACAAATCTTGGCCATGAATCTTGATGAGACTTGAACCCAGGAATGACTGTGCTGGTGAAGGCCAGCAGCAATTTAACTGACTAACAGATCATTCAGCAGTTGAGAAAGTGAAGACACACTTAGAGTTACCATCTTGTGCTAGATGTGAGAAGATCACCCACCAGCAAAGAGAGAAATCATTAAATACAGAAACTGAGGAATCGACACTGCTGTGAATAAGTGATCAGGCAGCGCATAGTGAAGATAAGACTTACTGCATGCTACATGGAACTGTAAAGTGTGTGAGTTAGTGGAACGGTCATACTTATTTGTAGTATGATTTTAAAGGCTGATCACAGTGGCTGCACAATCTAGATATGAACTATCTTTATCTGCTGAATCATTAGGGTTGTGGTTTGAATCCCACCTGAGGCATATATATCTGTCTCTTTATTCTGTTCGTGTTGTCCTGTGTAGGCATTGGCCTTGTGGTGGGCTGATCCCCAGCCCAAGGAGTTTTACTGGCTATCTATATGATTAAGAAACTCTAAAACTGAGGGAAAGCTTCATCATAAACTGCAGCGCCCACAGGTTGTTGTTATGAGTTTAAAGGTCCAATACACCCAATTACCAATCCAAACCCCATGCTTAGTCACTAAATATGTGATAATATGATAATACTTTTAGGAACCAAATGGACAATATGGGCTAAACACTGCCTGCAATGTTTAAGATACTTAAACACACTGCATCGGCACATTCACATTAAATGGCGTCTGGATGTAACGAAATCGAATGGCATAAGAAAGAGTAATAAACAAAATAATGAACAGAGACTCTCTCTCATATTTTAAAATAAGACAAAACTGATTTAAAGATTTCTGATACAAAGATACCAGTAGAAATTTGTAAAATTATTTAACTGGAAAAGGCTGTAAACCTGAATACTTACCATCAATTTGCTGCTGTGAATTAATCTTGTTTGCAACTATGTATTCTACTACCACAGGAATGAAATGGTGGATCTGAACTTTAATTTTAGCTGCTAAGTGGTACAACAACATCCCAATTTCTTGCAGTGTGCCACCATTTCTAACAGCCTGTGATAAGACAACAAAAAAAGGCAGTTTCATGCACGTCATGAACAAACATGTGAAGAGTAAAGGGATAAATTCTTAGTCTGCAAACAATCTGTGCTTTCTGTAAGTGTTCAGTGTTTCTATGTATTTCCTGAATGTGACACACTGTTGCTTGACTTGTCTCACACTCTGCTTGTAAGGACACCTGGAATATATTTCACAACCTGCTTACAAGGCTGTATGGAATGTATTTGTATATACTGTCACATGTAGGATCGTATGTGTGACAAAATGACGGGTTCTAGCTTGGATGATTGGATTTATTAGCACTTTGGTTATACACTCTCTCACTTAATCACATTTAAATGCATGCAATACAGTGCTATCACTGATTTACACACTTTCCAGTTCACTGTTGCACATGCACTAGGATTCTGTCTTCCAATCGTCATCTCCTAGCAACGGATGTCAACACAGCATCTATCACTTCTGATCACTACAAATATTACACATAAAACCTTCCAATCACACTTTATAACCTCACAGGTCGACCTCCTCTATTCTACTGCAGTCCTGGTTCCAATTCACATACTTCTGCTGTTACTATTTCTCTCTCGTAACTAACTCCAAGAGCCACAATACATTAACAATAATCAGTTACTAATTATCCAAGTGTGTAACATAAATCAAAATTAAAATAATTAAACTCTGAACATGATTTGCTACTAATAATAAATATGTATTATTATGTTAAATATAAGTTCTGATAATAATACACAAGGCCAATTACAGTGGCCACTTGGTCTAAGGCATGAACTGTCTTTGCTTGCTTGGGTGCTGGGATTATGCGTTCAAATCCCACTCAAGACACGTATGTTTGTGTGTGTCTGTCTCTTTATTATGTGTTTGTGTTGTTCTGTGTGTAGGTAGTGGCCTGGCAACAGGCTGATCACTCGTCCAAGGAATCCTATCGTCTGTAAAAAAAAAGATTACAATACTGAAGAAGAAGCCAGGGCCCAACAAAGGGATGTAGAGCCACTGATGTACGGATGGACAAATGAATGAACGAAGGAATATTAATAATAATAATAATATTAATATTCATAATAATTCAATTCAATTCAATTCAATTC